AAAAAAAAAAAAAAAAAAAAAAGAGAGATTCAAGGCTTATTTGCTCTTCCTAGAATTAAATGGATACAGGGTGCAAATTCAAGCATAACGATAAATATTTTATCATCAAAATTTTGCGTAGAACACAACAAATCAAATCGATTGTGTTCATCGATACGTAACTCCTTACCAAGCTTTTCAATGCATAAATTCAAACTTCCGGATCGTCAGAAAAACCATGATCTACTTAGGATAAATCATACGCTAAACGTTACCGTGGCAATTTTATGCTGAAAGAAAGTATGGTAATCTCAATCTTGGCACTTCAGCTCAGCTGTTGCACGTTATTTACACTTCGAAGTTCATGGGACGGGGAAAAAACAATTCTCAATTAAGAAGCCTGCCAAAGCCACTGGCAAGTGCAATTTGATTCATGTAGACTATGATTTAGGGTGAACAGGAAATTCAAAATATCTTCTTTAGGAGTTCATTTCAGTAATTTTAAAAAAAGGAGACATAAATTAAAATTGTTGAATTTATACCCTGTTTGGTAGTTCATTAAAGATCTATTCATTCTTTCAAATTCTGTGACGATGTGAAAAACGCGAACTTAAGGAATGAAGGATCATGTTGCAATTATATTAATTTGAGGAAAATGTACTAAATTCCGGCAATACCAAGTTTCTAAAAGTTGAACAATTACCGTGACTAGTCAAGAAGCGCCAAAACATCACCAAAAATTTATTGAAATTTTCATGCCAGAAAAAGCACTATCAAGCGGGTCCAGAAACCGGACAGCATGATTATCCAGCTGGATACGGATACCCCAGAAAATCTTATTCATCCGGAGCCGGATAATCCAGCAATCCGGATAATCACCGGATAGCCGGCCAAACTCTAAAAAATATTCATATCTCTCCTGAAAAACAAACAGTTTATTGAAGGGAATTTGGCAATATCCAATGTTTTGCTGCGTTTTCCCTCAGCATGGTAGAATAGAGCACTATTCAACTTCATGCAATTGAAAAGTTGATGAGAAATATTTTATTTGTAGTCTGACTAACTCTCAAATTTTAAGCATTTGAAAGATCAACACAGATTGCAGGATAATTGTGTAACTTCTAAGTTAAAAGAGAAAAAAAATTAACTCACAAATTATTATTCGGGGTCCAACCAGCCCGTACTAAATACTCCATCCATGGAAACATATGCAATAAAGGGTATTGTAGCTCTAAATTTTTTATATGCGTTATTTGCAAACTTTCACTAAGCCTAAATTCTAATAACTTTAAATTTGATTTTGAATTAGGAGTGCCGGCTCTAGGAAATCTGCAAAAATAAAAAAAACAGAATTCTTGTATGTAATGTAATACAAAGAAAATATTGACGGTGCAGGTCGGCAATCACATAACTTGTTTGCGGTGTCTGAAAATCTCCACCTCGATGTTATTTTTTTAAAGGAGAACTAATTGACATCATTCCTTGAAGTTTTTGCAGAATTTTCTTCGCACAATGAAGAAAAATCATGGCAGTTTTAAAGAATTGCCGTTGAATAGTTTTTCGTTTAAAAAATAAAGTATGACAGGAAGTCTGCGACGTCGCAAACCGAGTTATGTGATTGCCAACTTGCACCGTCAATATGCAGTATAAAACAGAAACGAATATTTGCAGGCCAAAAGAAGAATACTAAAATGTAGTCTCTAAAATTCTAAATTGATATATAAATGGTTCAAAATATGGTGGATCCTTTGGAATGAAACAAAAGATTTTCGGCTCAGAGTAATGAGGGGGAAATAATTCCTCCTTTAACATACAGGGTGATGCAAAAGTCCGGCACAGCGGGCAATAAGCGTCTTCCCTGTAACTTTTTAAAGAATAGAATTAGAGACTTCAAATTTTGTTGAAGCTCCTAGGTTAAAGGAGGCAACCTTTTGGGCCCCTTGAAATTTAAGGGGGATCACCCTGAGAAGGGCCAAGAACCTTGCAGGTTTTAGGAATAGTGTGGGACTTTTGGATCACCCTATATGAACTGGGGCATCTACAGAAAAATAGACTTGGGGCATGAAAAAATAATCAATTCCTAAAGACTTAAACTTCAGTTATTGATACATGCCAGATTATAGAGTGTTCTATGGACATTTTGAGACAAAAAATATCCAAAAAAGACATACCAAACCAGAGTAATAGTGGTTTGAAGTTTGCGATTAAAAAGTCATACTTTTCAGAGGACGTTACTGAGAATTCTGATCTGCCACATACAGGTCATAAATTTCATAAAAAAAGTTAAAAGCAGAAAGTGGATTCTTACCTGTACTGTTCCACTTCTCCGCAACTGTTAGTACTTGAGGATGGAAAACTGTAAATTTTAACTTCACTTTCATCTATTTCTTCGTACAATATTCGGTAAATTCCATCTGTAAAGTAATTAAAACATGATGAATAAATTTTGTAAAAACTATACATATATGCATAAATACATTGGGAGGTCCCTTTCATCATCTGATTCACGAAAAATAAGCTCTAATGCACTTAAAAGCAGTATCCTTAAAATGCTGGGTGACTCTGCCAAAATCCTGCCTAAGGTTTTCCACCATTCTTTCAATCCTGACTTCTGCAGGGCTGTCAAAACTGCGCAACACATGACACATTGAAACTTTTCTTGCATAAATTCCTCAAGAATGTGAGTTGGTGGGCTTTGGATAGTGTCCCCTCATTGCTGACAGCTTTAGTTCAAGTAATTATTTTTTGGCAATAAAGTAGACACTCTTTTTTTTTAAAATTTACAAACCTGATGAATAAGGTTGCCACCAATAACCTTGATAGCGATTAAACTCTTCTTGCATGACATAAGATGGAATTCCTGCAACCAAAGGATCATCTGCTAGGCCTCGACCACCTTTCCTTGCATAAGTAAGTCTCTGGGTGTGACCTGAAATAAAGAAAAAATCTTGGATTAAAGAATCAATCAACATGTTAACTTCCAAGTCAGTCCCTACCAGCACTGACAGAAGCGAATCTTAAGTCATTTCTGCTGAGTGGAGAGAGCACTCTATCATCGCATATCTGAACTTCAAGTCTGAACTGGGAGAAAATGCCACATGTTTCCTCTAATCATATGTAGCGAACAATTCACAGAACGAGAAGTTCAGATACTAAGTCCTGGACGATATACTAACGAGTATTTTCAACAGATCAAACGGAAGTCAAGAGTGGCGGTGGCCACCCTCGGTTGAAAAAAATGACATCCTACTAAAGTCCCAATATTAGATCATACAAATGATGTCATTTTCATTTATGCCATTTAGCAAATGTTAATTATTAAGCACTTATATCTTTTCTGGGAGTTGATTTCAAGACTCCTCCTTGTGAGATTCATTTTTCTTGTGAAATTTTGAAGAGGAAACAAGTTATGTACACGCTTTGACTCATACCATGTGTAGTGGCCCTCTGTCAAAATTAAAGTCAGTGACGCAGGAACTATTGACAAAAACGGATGTAATAGCAAATAAAGAACCGAAAAAATGAAAAATTCACCTGTTAGTGTGTGGCAAACCCAAATATCATAGTTACAAATGTAAGCAACGAGATCAGGATTCGATGGACAGATTTGAGGTAAAAATTTAGCTCCGTTTGAGTTCAGACGCAACTCTGATGGAAATAAAGGGCCATTCTGCAAGACACAAAATAATTTGTTTAGGCAGACGGTTTGAGGATGAATGATACTCCTACTTTTTAATGATAAATTTTTTTAGTTCAAATTGTTTATTACATTGTTTAATTCTAGAGGCCCCTTTTTTCTATCTTGGGAGCTCGAAAACATTAGAAAGATCTCAGTGAACTTACGCAGTCGCTTATATTCTCCTCTTAATTAAATAGCAACTGATTAGAGTTGCTTGCAAATCAATAAGCTTGTATCATATTCTTTCGCTATTTCAGACTTAAAATAAAAATAATGGACATCTAAAATAAAAAAACAAAAAACAAAAACAATAAAAAAAAAAAGAAGCTGGCAAATGTCAATCTTGGAAGGATTAAAATATGTACATCCACCTGCTGTTAGACAGTGAAACTCCCAAACCTAGTACCTCAGTTTCTAGCAATGCAGACTACATGCCATGATTTATTTTTTAAATGGAAAATTACTCAACATCAATTCCCGAAACTTCTGTGATTTTTTTCCTCCACTTGCAAAACTTCCATGAGAACTTCGAAGAATGATGTTGATGTGTTCTTACAAAATAAAATGGAAGCGGAGAGTTCGAAACATTTCAAACAAGATACATGTCTTGGGTGTTTTATTGTCAATATATAGTCCTCTACAATTTGTTATTTTTTAAAATTATTACTGTCCACTAGCTGAGGAACCTAAATTTAGGGGGCAATTTTTGTCGAATTGAAACAAAGCATCAGAAAGATTAAATAACCAGAAAAAAAAAATCCTGTCATCGCAGTTCAATAAAATTTAAAAAGAGATACAGGAAGGCAAGTAGTATAAGAAAATTACCGTGTAGCCTGAATCAATACATTGATAGAGGGTGCTAGAGGCCGGAAAAACAAGTTTCCCTGACTCTTCATGAAGTTCGTAGGAGGTAATACCCCACGTAGCTAATCGTTTGCGTTCGAGCATGAGTTGCTCCTCACGCGAGAATTTACTGCTAAGAGAGATACTTTGAAAATTTGACTCGATCACTGGTTGCCATGGTAGACGCGTGTGTTGATTTGTGTTGCTTGAACACTCAGGAATATCCGCATACAAAAGAGTGGTTTCCCATCCATTCAACGGTGTGCTGAGAAAAAATATTCTGATTCTTCCATCTGAGAGTCGCCGGAATGAAATGGAACTTGGCACCATGGTGGAGAGGGAGGAGAGCTTCCGTCTCAGGTCGCAAACGACTTGTTTCAATTCCGACCATGATTTCTTCTTACCAGCTCCACTTCTTACGCATTCCACAGATTCGACTCGATCATCAATGCTCCCAACGTTGCCCCAAGTCTGCAAAGTTATATAAATCATGAGTCGATGAAGTACGAAATAGAAAAATTATTCACGTAGACCTTGACATAATGACATGGTTGCCAAAGAATTTAGAAAAGAAATTCCTTGACGTTTTTCTGACACATTTTGGTAAAGTTCCCTGATATTTGAGGATGTGCTGGATGGTTTAAAATACAGATTTTGAGATAGTTTTTAGGCAGAATATGCTGTTCGAAATGTCATATTTTAATAACTATTACAGTCTTTTGTCATTGTATTTGAATAAAAATTATTTTCTGTCATCGAATATGCAAGCAACGCCAAAATGAAATATTGAGCACTGTTAGGAAACAGGAATACCCTATGTCTGCCAGTCAGCGTAGATCAACTTCATTAAAATTATGCGATGACTTGCATGTTTACAAGTAAACACTCAATATTTTCACCAAATAATAAAAAATCTCCACAGGTTAATGAATCTGTTCAGTTTCATTTAGTAAACAGACATGTTAAATAAACAGTATCAGGTATGATTACTTAGACAAAGCACATATACTTGGAACAAAGAAATATTACCCAGATTTCAACAAGAGACCAGCAAGTCATGCATTGGGGCACCTTTACCATAAAATAGAGGCCTAGATTGTTTCTCTACGATTTATTTTGTTTTAATATTGAAAGAGGTATTACAAATTGGAAAATTTGAATATGATCTGCATTTCTTCCACCTATCTACCAAATGTCTGAACTGAGCCTAGCTCAGACACTCTGATTTCAAAAAAAAAAAAAATTAGGACATTGCACTGGAAGGTAATCCAATGCATCATAGTCAATATAAAGGGATAATAATAGTGAAGCAGCTCCAAAATATCAAAATCCTGGACGATGATGTACACTTGAACTCATAGATGCTTCAATTTTGAGTTGTCAGCATAATGACTGTCGAGTTTTCAGAGACACTGCCCCAGGAGTAAAATTGGTTTTTTTTTGGTTGATATGAGAAAGATCATGGATAAAATAATATAAGTGAACCAGGGCAGTCTGTTCTGGATCATTGAGCTTTAAAGTGCTACAGTATTGATGCCTACTGGCAAGATAAGGGCCGCAACAAATACCTTAACATAGGACACCACTGCATTTCTTTGAGCATTGATCTTCTCTGTTAATGATACACTCATTGTATCTGGAGTAATGTACTTACTGCATCCAGCGAGGATACAAACATTTCATTGATTGATTTTACTCATGTAAATATGAATGATTCGATCGCACTGGCAACAATAGTAGTCGAAGCTGATGCAGGTTAGGATTTGGTTAGGATCAGAGTTTCCTTGAAAGGAAAGTTATAGATATATGAAATAATAATGTCTATTTGGGTGAATAATGAGATAGTGATTGAACAAACCTGATCATTTGGTAACATTTTAGGGTGGTTTCAAAAATGACGAAGGATCACTGACAGCACCATAAACTGATTATTTATGTAAAAACGGTTGATAAACAATGAGCGCACAAGAGGTGAAATGAATCTCTGTAGATTGCGACTGATACTTGCTAGTAAAAATAATCAACTCTTGTTATGAGAATTTGGGCTTGTGGTGAAAGGAAGAAACAATCCTCGGGCATAAGTTTTTAGTAAAATTCAGGTAAATGTCTGAGAACATTGCTTGAAAGGAGGTTGAATTCGGCCGCATTGGCGGTGATATTTGCCATGAGAATTCACCACTTGTTAGCGAAACTAATGATATAAAAATTAAGGAGCAGTAAAAAGATCTTACGAACAAACATAAGGCTTATTTCACGTAAACATGAGAAACTTTCACCATATAAAATTCTTCATGCACACATAACCCCCCTGCGCACCTTTTATTCCGTGACACAAATGTTGATGGACAGATCAACCTGAGTTGATGGAAGGCAAAGTAAAAGAAAGGCAACATTGCAACTCGCCTACTTGATGATGAAGCAAGGGGCCAAGTGGAAAGGAAACAAAAAGTGTACTCTTTTCGACTCACATCAGGTCACTCAGGTTTCATTGATGAAGATTTTGAAGCAACTTGCAACTTGGAAGTGGAACTGTTCAATGCTTCCTTCCCTATTGTTCTTTATAGAATTTAGAATTATGGTTGAAAATCTGGAATCTGGGTTGCGAGCAACCCTGGTTGGGTTGGGACTTAGAGGTTCCATCATCAGTCGCATTATCAGGTAAATAAAGTTATCAGAGCCGCTTTGCCGCTCTTGGTGTCTCATGATCTTCTGCTGACCGTGTTTTTTGCAGAATGGGCAGAATTGATGACAGATTAGCGTGTGGTTGCAATTCTTGACTTCTTGAGTGAGAATCTCAATTTCGTTTTCTTGGTAGACGGTCAAGGCCCGCCTGTCTTGGTGCAGCTGTCTGTGAATAAGCCAGGTAAGAATTTTAACCTCAATCTCGAAGTATGAGTGCTTCTAGAAGACCAGTAATCTTTGTTGAAGACTTATACGCTTGAAAATCGGAATGTTTGATCACCATTTACTTTCTGACGATCGTCATTTGAAGGAGATGTCTCATTGTGTCTTAAGTCCAGGAATATGAAAAAGCGCATCAATACGTTTTTAAATGGCGAATGGCTATCTTTCCGTACTAAGACTCCTCAGAAGCTCCTGAGCTTAAGCTGCACTAACGCCCTCAGTTTGGGCAAGGCTTGAGAATTAGCCATGAAGTTGGTCTTGCTCCTTAACCGGTAAGAATGGTACATACGATATTCCTGCAAGGTCTAGCGCAGCGGTTGCCTGATAATCAGCGGCAGATTCTATCGATAACCATGGCTGACATCACCTACCGAATTCGGTATGTTGTTGGCTATGACCCCACCAACATGGGGTCTTTTGGCTCTATCTTGAACTACAGGCAGCGCATAATGCAAGTGATCCACGATTTAACCACAACATAGCCAAACCAAGCAAATTTATGATTATAGGTATGGGATAGTCAAGTCCGTACCAGACCCTGTGGTCTCAAAGAGACTAAGAAGGGATTGAATTGGCACCAGGGTCTTTTCCGGTCAAAGTTATTGATTTTTAAGTGTCCTTTAAAACCTGTCAATACCGGTATTAAACCTGAGACCTCAATGTTAGCTGCAAACTACTCTTAATACTACACCACTGAGACCAGCTGTTTACTATATCTGAATTAAATTCATCCTCTAACTAGACAAGCTCTTTCTCGAAACACTCAAAATACTTAAATTTATTTCCATTATCAATTTAATAACTAATTAAATACTGTCAAAAATGTTTGAAGCTTTCTCCACTTTTGTCACTCGGTCAAGGACATCGGTGCAGAAAGTTTACTGGAGCAATAATCAGTTGGAACTGCCACTTTGACAAGTAGTTAAGAGTACTTGGATAGTCAGGGAACTCCACAAACAAAGTACCCACTTATTGATTTATTTTTTTTTAAAATTTTTCTGAAGAAAAAAAAGGACTTGTGGTTGGAAAATTTTCTCACATCACCTGACTAGCGCGTGCTCAAGTAGGTATTCTGCTGTGCTAAGAAAAAACGACGTAAAAACATCCGGATGCTGCCAAATTTCTCATTATAACACCTTCTTTTTTGATAGAATCAATAAATGTTTTCCCATGAAATTATCAGACTTTATCGATTGAATTTGGAATGAGATTTTCTGGAGGATTGGGAGAAAAATATACCTAAGTTTCCCAGAAACTTTGTATTTGATCATAAGAAATTTGGCAATGTCTGAAGCTCACATTGTGTTTTTCCTTAGCGTGATTGTATTGCCTGCATCCCTCATTGACAGGGCCGGATTTACCCACTTGCCGCCTGTATATTAGCTCTTAAAATTTTATGAAGGAGAAGTCAGAATACTGGGTTCAATTTTAAATATTGATTTGCAGTAGGTAGAATACTCATTCATTTTGTTAAAATTGTTTATTATTAATAAACTAAATGCATTATTTACGAAGCAAATTAAAACAGGATACCTAAAGATATGTACAAAGTGGATTTCTTTCTTCCTCGGCAAAATTTTGGGAAAAAATCTATTTCACATCAGAGACGAGTCAGACGTCAGAAACGGAGGGTTCTGAATTAGGTGGTATATTAATTAGAGTCGAAGTCCCACTCGGAGTTGTCACACTAGTAGTTGGCGTCTGCTCACTTCTCTTCGACTTCTTGGCTGGGGTCAAGATATTCCCTTGTACGATGTGTGAAGGAGAACCCTTGTTCAAGTTGCTAGTCTTGCTCACCAGAGGAGTGTGTTCAACTTTGCTGAGTCGCTCACTGAGTGCTTTTAAAGCAATTTGTCTGAAGAAGAGAGTTAAAATATATTAGAATACAAGAATATGTTGATTTTAACCGTTTTGAAATCATAAGACACATTCCACAATTACTTATAGTAATTCCTAAATCCTGATTCGGTCCCATACTTACTACGTGGTATTGAGGAAATCAAAATAGGAATTAAATCCAACTTAATATTACATCATAGGACATGAGGATGAGGCTGACTTGGCAGATAATTTGGGTTATAAATACCTGCCTTGCTTCGAGCAAAGTCCTCCCTGTGCCATTAGAGAACCAATCACCAACAATACGGAACCCCAAACATTGCAATGCTGCTAAGATGGAACACCTAAATTGCAAGACTTTTTTTTTTGATAACTGAGTTTGGACTAAAAACTGAAATTTATAGGGTAATATTCTGATTAATTTAAGATTTGATATCTTTCCGGATCGTCATCTGAAGTTGAACTAAAGTGAGGGCAGTTTTGCAATGTTCTTGTTACCCTCCAGCAAAATGTAGTCCACTGTACTAGTGTATATCGACGGTGAAACTACCAAACCACGTATCTCGTTTGCGGTGTTTAAAAATCTACGCTCGCATTTTATTTTTTTGAAGTAGACCAAATCAATATCATTCCTTGAAATTTTCACAGAATTTTCTCCGCACGAAGAGGAAAAATCACGGAAATTTTCAAGACTGGACGTTAAGTAGTTTTTCATTTAAAAAATAAAGAATGACAGGAAGTCTGCGACGTCGCAAACCGAGATACGTGGTTTGGTAGTTTCACCGTCGATATGTTATGAGTGGAGCAAAATCAAGTTTTCTGTTTTTTTCAACACTCTAGTACAGATCAGCTATGGTGTTCATGGTTGGCTATTCCTTTTATGATAATCAAGAAAATATCAAGGGAGGGCTCCTCTTTGAAGTGATAAAATTTACTGTTTTTGACAGTTGAAACATCATACTTGCAGGCAGTGCAGGCTGTAACAGTCCCGAACCACAAAACACCATGCCACCTTATTTTATTAAAAATGACACTTGCAGTAGTTGAACATGAAAACGATGATCTACCTACTGTGTCTTCAGGAATGATGGGCATGAAAAAAAAGATAAAAATCTAGTCAAAGGAGTCTATTGGGAAAACCAAGGAACTCGGCTTTGGCTTATTTTTTTAATTATATGGTTCCCTATGACCTTCTAAACCTGAAGAGATTTTGAAAGTAGACTTTCTACCTCTCAGTTCTGAGAAAAATAGGGTTGATAAGTGACTTAATCAACATTTTCATATCATACATGGTAGAATTTAAAGTATAACATCCTTCAGCGCATACTCTTTTTTCCCTGTTATTATACTGTGCTTTTCCCTAGAAAGGCAGTGCATAGGTTCCTGCTCGGTAGGTGGCTGGTAAAAAGGAGCCATAACTTTTCTGCAACCTCCTTGACAACCACTCACCAGGCAGGTACTTCATTTGTTTTGTGGTTGCATTCAGAAGAACTCTTACCTCCTTCGCTCCATGTCAATTGGATCTGTTCCGGGAATAGTAACTGTAACACCTGTGGGAGCAGCAGCCATGTCAAATTTTCTAACAGTTCGACGGCAAAGCTTCAATTTTACCATGAATTCATAAATTGTATTGCTTATGACAGCTACTGCTGGCTGAAGGACATTCGGGAAGAAACTGGAAAAAAATGAAATACATCTAATTAAATACATACTACTGGAAATCTGAATTCCATGGCTTGAAATGTTAATAAAATGAAATGGGTAGAAAAAGACCGATCTGAGGGTGATTTCGCGATATTATACATCTCAATGTTGCTTTCGTACCTTCTTCAATTATGTGAGAGATCAAGAAAAAATTGATAATATTATCATTGGAAATTATTCATACATGCAACTTTGCATAGATTCATGAAAAAAAAAAAAAAAAAAAAAAAAAAAAAAAAAAAAAAAAAAAAAAATTGAGGAATAATGATTCCTGTGAGTTTTAGACCAAAATAACCTAGGAAGCTCTAGGGTACACCCTTAGACCCCAAGGTATAAATTTAGAGGTTCCTTTGTCCTTCACCACTGACTGCAACCAGGGATCTGAAAATTCTTAATTCAGCTTTATTATCACATCTCCTGCAGCTGCCCCCTTTTCTATAATGCAGCAGGACTATAAGACCTCACAACTCTTGAGAACTTAAAACAGAGCTAGCGTTCACGTTAAACTATTTACTTATGGACCCAATCACTCTACTACCTAGACTACTTTGAGTGAGGGAACTTCAGGCGGGTAAAAAAAAACCCATTGTTACTATTTATTGGTTGAAATAGCTTGAACTATTCTCTCATTCATTTACTGAGGTGAATAATTCATGAAGTAATGTGACACACACTGCCCTCAGGGGCTTCACACATTTTAGAATCAAACATTATGATGATAGTAACAGATTTGATGATAGATGTTATACGGTTGTAAAGGAGCTACATGTAAGTGAACAGGAAGTTTCGGTCAACAGCAGTGGCTTCCTCAAGCTGCTTGAACATGTATCCATGAAATTCCAACAGAAACAAATGTAATTGAATTCCATGAAATTCAGAACCATAAGAGTAGGGCAAGTTCTCCTGGGTTGTTTTTTGAATTACTGAAATGGTTTAACACTCAAGATGCTCACCTGGCAAACACAAAATTATCGGCCATGTCTCCCCTCGATCCGTTTGTATGGTACTGGTAGAAGCGTAGGTAGATCCAACTGACTAGAACTCCGCAAGTTATCATTGTGGGATTCGTCCCCTCCAGCAATCCAATGAGCCACAGTACCACAGACAATGTGATTGCAGTCAGAGGAATGTTCCGATTTGTCATTTTCCCGATTGGGGTTTTCATTATGACATGATCAGGCATCATCTGTTTAACAGCTACCGTGACGCCCGCAACATATCCTGCTAAGCCGTGAATGTGAACTTGGAACAACAGCTCCTCATTAAATGTACACATGTATAGTAGTAAGTAAAAAAGAGCACTTATAATAGCTACACCAAAATTTACAATTGCAAAAAAAGTCATCATCTCCATGGCCCCCCATAATGGCTCTATCAGCTTTCCGCATAGCCCCACAATAATTACATCGACGCAGACCTCCCAGAAATGTATCTCGAGGAAGCAAAATGTGAACGCTGTCCAAATCCAGAAGGATGGAGGGAAGAAAAACCCGGGCGTAACACTGATACTTCGCACGGCTCCATCCCAATATGATAAGAAGTAACAGAAGAAAGTCACAACACAGATGAATTTCACTGAGGTGCTAGTGTTCCTAAGCAAAGCTGCCAATTGTTGTTGAATGTAATAGGAGAAATTTTTATCTTGAATCTTAATTGAAGCCATTTCACATTTTTAAGCGACGGAATTTTATTAGATTTCAACCTTTATTACTCTGAATCGCGCTCATGTTTACTATCACACAACCAACACAATCACAGAACACAATCACAAATTTTCCTCAACCAACCATAACCTATGAAAAAGTTTCAGAAGTCGCACCCTGTTGTCATATCTACGTATTATGTAAAATATTCAGCCATACGCGGGAAATTCAATTGCACGGAGTCACCCCAAATCACTCCCATTCAGTACCGTTTCAACTTTGCATTTTTATTCACAAATGTATCTAAGTAATGATTTCATTCTTTCTTTCTTATTTTCCAGAAAAGAAGAATTAAATTCCTTAAATCGTCAAAAATGGTACAGCATCTGAGAAGACTTCGACCAAAACAATGTTGCCAGTTTTTCAAAAACTACTCCTCAGAGTCTGTTGCTAATGCTGAGACGAAGTCTATTCCATCCCCCAAACAGTGGTCAGCAGCATTGCACAGGTTATCAGTCATGCAGCAGTCCCGTTTTGGAAAACAGCTGCACAAGTATGTGGATAAATTGCATGACAAGTATGGGCCTATCTTTCGAGAATCTTTGGGTCCTGTTACAGCAGTTTTCATCTCTGACCCTCATGAAATGAGACGTGTATTTGCACATGAAGGAAGGTACCCGATACATGTTTTGCCAGAGGCATGGCTTCATTATAATAAAATTCATAAGACTGAAAGGGGTCTTTACTTCATGTAAGTACAAGTAAATTATTACTCCTATTTTAAGGGAAAATTTGCGAAACTACAAGGTGTGAAGTTGACCATATTTCGGGCTTGCCGCTGTCTGCAGTGCTGCCCCTTGAATAGTGGAAAAAGTTGTCCAAATATTAAACAAGTAGGAGTTTTAATGAGAGAAATTTTCTGGCCTGCCCTGGGTTGCTGCAACTAATTTTTTGCGCATTCTTCGTCCACATTCTATGGAATGCATGATTAATTTAGCCTTTTTAAGACTGTTTTTGGGACTGACAGCCGTAGCATTAGTCCGAAATCGGATTTTTGATATTTTTATGAATTTGTTTACAAAATAAAAAAAACACCTTGCAAATGAGACTTTTGAACTCATTTTTTTCTCTTTCTTTTTATTTTTTTATGAATAATGAGAGAAAAACCGGTTATAGGACTTTTGGTCCAATTTTTTTTGTCCACAAATTTTTTCGTCCAATTTATTTTGTCCACGACTTTTTGTCCTTGAAATCTGGTCCAAGTTAAATTCGTCCTGGTAAATAGTTAGTCCTACGCATTTGTTCGTCCAGTGGTATTAGGTCACATTTCTGTGGTCCAGTAAGGTAAAAAAGTTATGTCCAAAACTCACGTCCAATGAGGCCGTTTCAGCTACTTCCTTTCAGCTTTCAGCTACTTTCAGTCATCGTCTGAGTCTTCTTCGTCCGAGTCCGGTGGATCTGCGCGTGGCGTGTGAATCAATTGGCGTTAAGATCAATTTATTTCGTAGCTATGGAGACCCTTAAATTTAATCCCAACATCGAAAGAAAAAACATCGAAGAGGTTATTTTACCAACGAAATTACCAACATTACAAGGACACGAACTCACTTAAGAAGTACCTCCGAGCATGTGCGTACCACCTCAAGTTGCACACGCCACGCGCAGATCCACCGGACTCGGACGAAGAAGACTCAGACGATGACTGAAAGTAGCTGAAAGCTGAAAGGAAATAGCTGAAACGGCCTCATTGGACGTGAGTTTTGGACATAACTTTTTTACCTTACTGGACCACAGAAATGTGACCTAATACCACTGGACGAACAAATGCGTAGGACTAACTATTTACCAGGACGAATTTAACCTGGACCAGATTTCAAGGACAAAAAGTCGTGGACAAAATAAATTGGACGAAAAAATTTATGGACAAAAAAAATTGGACCAAAAGTCCTGTAACCGAAAAACCTCTCGTCTGTAGTTAGGAAAGAAGATTAGGAAAAAAAAAACGTACAGAACTGAGGAACATGTAGAATTCGATGAGAAAAAAAAAACGGGATAAAAATTGGCTGAAAAAAATTACTTCCGACTCCCCTAAAGTCTTATTCTCTGAAATTATAAGAGAAACGCAGATTGTAAGAAAGCAATTGGCTGTATATCGGCAGTGTAAGTCAGCAATCACATAACATCTCGGTTTGCGACGTCACAGACTTCCTGTCATACTTTATTTTTTAAATGGAAAACTGATCAACGGCAATACTTTAAAACTGCCGTGATTTTTCTTCTCCGTGCAAAGAAAATTCTGCATAAACTTCAAGGAATGAGGTCAATCTGTTCTTTTTTAAGAAAATAACATAGAGGCGGAGATTTTCAGACACCGCAAACGAGTTATATGATTGCCGACTTACACCGTCAATATGTTTTATCGTAGTTTTACCATTGAATTGTATTATCAAAATCAAACTTCATATTCTTAAGGTTAACTAGCTTTTAATATTAAAATTGGAAATTAAATTTCAGGAACGGAGAGGAATGGATGCTTTATAGAAAACTTCTCAATCCTCTCCTTCTGAAAAACTATGATGGACAGCATATACTAGACAATTGTGAGCTCATGGTTAATCGGTTGATTGATGAATGGTATGCTCTATCAGATGATGGAGAAATATTGAATCTAGAGCAGAAATTGTATGAGCTCTCAATTCTCTGTGAGTAGGTATACTTACATCTATTTTTTTTTAAAACACTTACTTTAGGTCCAAATTTAAAAGTTTTTTTCTAGTTTGATTAAAAAATCGCTCATGGATGCCTATATTTAGAGGAACTTAACTCAATGTAATCACTGCTAAAGTAGAAAATAATTGAAAGATGAGTTGCAGTGTGATAAAAGGATCATTTCTCTAAAATTACCTGATAACTTTAAATTCCAAGTTTTTCTTGCTGACGTATTCCCTTTCTGCAACTACTTTGACTAGATCTCCTGTCTCGATCAGGCCACCAAACATGCGATTTTTGTTTTTTGTATTTCATAGCAAAAGCGTACTATCGATGGAATTTTGTCCAGTCCCTGCAAACTTTCATTCATGAGCTGCTATTGAAACTTCCCAATTGTTAAAGAAGGAAGAAAAAAAAAAAGGGTTTCTGCAAAAGAACAAGTGTTCAATTTTGTTGTCAAATTTTAATATTATACCAGGGAAAACTATAATTTTTATCTCGAGCAGGTTTTTGCACATGATTGATTCCGACACAGTTAATTTTTCAGCCAACACCTGCTAGAATTCAGTTTAGATCTGAAATTCCCATCATAGAAGGAAAAAACTTATGTAAGCAACATTTCCCTCAAAAAGTTATGCTGTTTTGTTAAACATTAGTTATGACCGATTCGGGAGGCAATTGCAGACGTGTTTTCGGTCTGCTCAAATCACTGTTTGGTTCTCATGATTCCTTGGAGCTTGTAAGCAGAAAGATTAGGAAGATAGGCTGCTCTATTTACGGGTCCCATCAGACCTAAAACACGTCTGAAGTTGCCGCCCTGATCGGTCGTAACTAGTTTTGCACCGAAAAGCTTAACACTTTGAGGGGGATTTTGCGCATAAGTTTTCTCCCTTGTAATGAGAATTTAGGTAGAGTTTCAGGGCACTTTGGCAAGATTTTAACAGTGCCATCATCCATAAATTTCCCAATTTTGAATGATTTTTCCTTGTCATTCCCTGAATGTCTTGTGTTAATTTCATGAGAAATGTATTGATGGGGAAACTGCAAGAACACGTACATTGATTTTCAAGGTTGCAGACTTCCTGTCATGCTTTATTTTTTAAATTGAAACCTATTCAGTGTCCATTCTTGAAAACTTTTTCGAATTTTTCTCTCTATGCGAAGAAAACTCGGTGAAGACTTTGTGGAGTGATGTTGATTTGTTCTCTTTCAAGCAAATAAAATGGGAGCAGCGAAGATTTTTAAACACCGCAGATGAGATGCATTGTCTGAAAGTTTCAAGGTCGAAGTGTACAATCTGTAGACAAAAGAAAATTTTAGCAGAATTTTTAAGACACAGTCATGAAGATGTTTGGTTCTTTGGTTTATTTATAGATATTATTCTTATTTTTAAGTCTTATTTTCCTTCTTTATTACATTTTGCAGTCATGGTAGCAGTAATTGTTGGATCATCTTTTCCAAAACATGTGCGTGAAGTGAGGCCCTGGACAGGCATTCTTGCTAAATCTGTTGGGGATATATACAAGGAATCTGTGGCTCTATCACAAATATCAGTGGAATTTGCCGCTAAATGGAGGCTTCCAGCATGGAGGCGTTTTTCAACTGTTGTAGGAACCTCATTTGAAATTTGTAAGTTCTTACCCTCTAAATTCTTACTGTAAGAGCAAGTTTATAGTTTAAAATTTATATAATTTTTTCAAAAAGCTTGATCAACATCCATGACTAGTGATGTAGTGAAAAAACCTGTTGGTGCATGTGAGATAATGTGAAGAATATGAAATATTTATGATTCATTAATTATTCAAATCTAGTAAAAGAAAAAAAAAAAAAGAAAAAAAAGGGGGAAAAAATCAGATAACTCAGACGGAAGAACAGATAGAGTTCCACAGGGAAAAAGTCATAATTGATCGCATATTCTATGTATCTTTTCTCTCCTGAAATGTTTAATTGGAATGTTACGTTCTTCTGGAACACAAAATAAATCATAAACTTTGTACGTTTTTATTTTAGGTGAAATTGAGGTACAGTTATCTCAAAATTTCTAAGTACTATTTTTTTTTCTCAGCAAATGAATTGATAAAAACAATGGATAAAATAGTGTCCTCTGATGGCTTGCTGTATCAGTTAAGGCAATGTAATATACCTCAAGAGAAAATTAACACTATCATCTTAGATTTTATTCTCGCCGCTGGAGATACAGTAAGTATCAAAGAGAACCATTTTTTATATTTGAAGTTATTTTCAGGAGGAAAGAACATTAGAATTTCAGATTTAAGGAAATTTTCCTTCTTTACTTCAATTCTTTCTCCCCATTTCATTTCTTGTTAAGCTACATCATAAAAGGTCTTTCGATTCTCATCCAGCGAATCAAAGTAAAATGGTATCGTAAAACAAATATTGTTTTAAAGTCTTAAGTAACTCTCATTACCAGTGCTCAATTGAAAAATTGTTTAGAAACAAATTGACTAATTTATGACAATTATTGCTTTAAATGCTGAGCTCTTGCATAAATTTCCTGTTTGGTCTGTAACTTCAATCAATATGATACTATTTTTTAAACTTTGATAATTTTAAGAATTCTCTCACAATTAGCCAATAAAATTTTATGAATTTTTTAATGAATAATAATAATTATTAAATCAGCTTCAGTCCGGTGAAAATATCAGCCTCTCTCGGATAAACCTCACTTTGTAAATATTTATCTGTAAATGATGGGTCTGAGATTAGTGAGAGGCAGTTGGTTCTCTAAAAATTTAAAGCTCTTTTTGTAAGCAAATGACCACTTTAAATTCTTTTTTTATCTGTATTTTTAGTATATAAAAATCAGAACAACAATTTTAAATTCTGCTTGTTTAATAAGCTTAATTCTTTATAAAGTCTGGACTGTCTCTAAAAATGTCAAGTAGTTTGTTGCCTGTTCCATCATTGATCTTATCACATTGTTTGACTTTTTTTTTATTATTACAGACTGCAACAACAACGCAATGGGCTATGTATTTACTTTCAACGCATGATGATATTCAAACAAAAGTTAAAGAAGAATTTGAAAACTCTAACTTAAGAGAAACCTGTGAGTCTGATCTGATGAGAGGGATCGTTAGAGAAACCATGCGACTGTATCCAGTTGCCCCATTTATCGCAAGATTTCTACCGCAAGACCTGAAAGTATTCGATTCGTACATTATACCTGCTGGGGTTAGTCATTTCCAATTGAAATTTGATCTCATTCACGGGTAAAATCAAATGAGTGGCAAGGCTGAAATTTAGTTTCGCTTGTGTTTAAGATGCTTATTCAGTGCAAATTTAAGAGGTCACATATGAAAAAAAATGTTTCGTTGGGATAAGATGCTTTTTGTGTTTTTTATAGAAAATATCATATCCAATGCAGTACTAGTAAGTACTGTTAGAAATGAAAAAGAAAAACGAAAAAGTAAATTATGATGGAAGCATTAAAATTTTATAAATTCAACCCAAGAAGTGAGGAAATAATAGTTCTTTTCTATGTTAATTCACACTCTCTGCTCATAGGAGAACCGTAGTCTACTCAAGACAAATTAACCACTGAAATAATTTTGGTATTTTTTACAATGGTATAATTTTTCTGTCTTATAACTTTTTTTAGACAAAATTAAAGATACCTTTTGTGTCAGAAGAAGAAAGAAATGTGAGAAACCAGGCTCTATTTATTTGCCCAACAGATGGGTTGATTTCAATTCCGAATTTGGCATACTTGTTGAAGGGTTTCTCATGTGTAGGAAGTTTGAATTTACTATTTGCGATGTGAATTGAGAACGTTTATTTCTCACTGAAGCCTTGTCCACACTAGCGCGGTTCGTGGAACTTTGGGTGAACTTGGTCTCAGAACTTGATGTATGTCAGCTATAACTTATTTCTCAAAATCTCAGTTCCTTAAACTAATTTGCCCAAAAGTTCCACTAACTGCGCTCTTTTGGACAGGGCTTTACAAGTTATGTAATTTTGAAAGTTTTTAATGTGCTCAAAGTATTTTACGTGAAATTCTGTTGAGAAAACATGTGCTGTAGGGCTGAATTTTCTGACTAGAGTAGTGGTCCATTATTCCCTCAGAGGGTGGTCAAAAATAATTAGTCTCCCTGGTCAAGTAATGTTTGGATTCGTCTTTCTCTTCTTTCAGGAAATGATCATCCTGTCCGTTTATTCCAGCGGTCGAAATGGATTATATTTTCCAGATCCTGATGAGTTCATTCCCTCTCGATGGGAACGGGATGAACAAACTGGTTCTCTGAAAGGCGTGGTTGATCCCTTCGCAACATTACCGTATGCAATGGGAGCACGATCTTGTATCGGACGCAAAATTGCCCAAACTCAAATATGTTTCTCACTAGCGACGGTGAGTCTCTTTTTGCCCATATCATTGAATTGCATCTTGTTTGCTCGGAGTATAAATAGCACTAAAACCTGTATCATTTTTACAGGGTTACCAGAGACAGGGAATACCAGAAAACCGTGAAATGTCAGCAGAAGCCTCTAAAATGGCAGGGAAAATGATGAAAGTGTCTGAAAAAAATGTTTAAGTCACCTTTATTTGTTTTCTAGAATGAGTTTGACGTTTCATAAAATAAATTTTTGCCTGAGAACTATTTAAAATTATGTCTTTTTAACCAGGCACATCTTAAATTGTCAGTGATTTAAACCGAAATTAGTCAAGGAAATTCATATTAAGTTCTGTGGGAACCTGCCATTATTTATCTTCTCGTAATAATGTGTCTAAATGGTATGCCTCATTTTCATTTTCCTCTTTACAGATTTTCAAGCAGTATGAAGTGTTACCGATGGCTCTCGTAGATATGATCCTGCATCTAATTCCTGTACCTGACAAACCTATTCAATTGCACTTCGAACCCAGAAGTAATCTAGGTTAGTCCAGGTGTGACCAAAGTATTAGCTATCAGCACTATACAAATACCAGCACTCACCGATACCGACAAAAATCTCAGTGTAAAAAATCTTTGAGATTCAAGTGATTTTTCCTTCTCTTTTTTCTTTTTTAAATGGATTTTCTTCATGCCGATCAAAGAGTCTGAAAAAAACCCTAGCTTTTTAAGTATTTAGTTAACTGTTAAAAGTTTAATAATTGTTTATTAAAAATGTGCCTATTTTTCAAAAAGTGGTTTTCCTTTTATATAATGTTTTCTGCTATAGGTTAGATGTGATCCTGTAAGAAAGTCCCTCTAAAAGTTCTATCTGCCAAACCAAAGAAGATGAGTTGGGAAAAAGATATATTTCAAGTATACTCATAGCTATAAGACAAACCAAAGATTTAGAAAATTCAAACGAGAGATTTGACGGATACTCATAGCTATTAGACAAATGAAAGATTTGGAAAATTCAATCAAGAGGTTTGCTGTAAGATTAAAATTTTCTTTTTGATTGAACATCCAGACAGAGTCCAGTCCTTTTCGTAAAGATAATTCATTTACAAGTTTTCTTCATCTGATTGTTTTTCCTCAGGTCATAAATAATACCTCTTTAAATTTTGACGATCTGAGCTAAAATTACAAGAAACTTCAAGAGCGTTAATTAACAACCACGGAAAATATTTTGATAAACAGAATTTATTTCGTAAAAAAAAATGAGAACATAAAAAAGAAACACTTTTGTAAGAAGTTAATACAAACTAAAATAAATAATAAAAATATTTATAAAAACAATGAATGTTGCTAAGATTTATGCAACAAATTATGTACACAGTACTTTCATCACAAGAAGGAATGAACTCATGATTTTAGTTAAAATTAAGAGGCTATGGAATGAAAAAACATTGTTTTCTTACAGAGTCCCAAATTTTTAAAAGGAAAGTTAATTGATTTATTAGATAAATAGGAAAAGTAATTAATCAAATGATGAATTATCCTCTTCTTTTGCCAGTGAGTAATACACTCAACTAGTAGAAGTTTAAGTAGGTATGAATTAAAAAAGTGGAAATTTTAGGCTATATTTTACTATTAAAAAAATAAAAAAATGTATAATATAGCTTTCAAGCCTCAAGCAAGAAAGTAAATGCATGCATTCAAAACTTGAAAAGTGAAAAATCTCTCAAATATTGAACGATGAAAAAGAAATGCAATCATTTTCTGATTTTTAACACATTAGATCTCTCTTTAAACTCTGTGAGCGATGATTCGTATTGAACGTAATCGCAAATCTGTTCCATGATTCGATTCTATGGTATTTTTCTTTCATGGCACATATTTGCAATTCAAAAATATCTAAAAGCCAATTATAATTCTCAATTACGAACGAATATAAGATTAAGATGGAAATTAAAGGAGTGCTGTCAAGTGGACCACATATTGCAATTAAGAACTACAATTTCTAGCTTACTTTGGAGGCAACATATGATATGTACCACTAGTTTCCCTACGCAGATAGGTGTTTTTATCGATGGGTCAGATATTGTACTTCCTTATGGCAAAATGCAGTCCGACTGGTTAGGGGCCAAAGAACAGTAACTACATTTGTACTGTACATTGGTATTGCAAATCATAACCATTTTTTTTTACAAGGATGAATCGCTAACTCAGTACTTCAAGAATGCAAATAACTCGGTTTATCAAAAATAATTAATTACGATTATTTGACTCTAGACTATAGAAATGAAATTCTTTCATACCAAGATGTCAGTTGCAGCATGCTCCTCCAATACTAAAATTCTTTACTATGCTTCTTAAAGGTTCATAACAGCGAAGCACTATAATTTTTATTAGGATAATTCCTGAGACTTTTCTGTTTCTGAATTCGTTTTTGTTCAATTTTATTGACATTCCATAAAATATGCTTTTATGTTTAAATTTATTCTGAACTAAATAATGTTCTTGCAGGGCTTTACTTGGAAGAGCAAGATTATGCTTTCAGGGATATTTTAAAGTAAACAAACAAACTAACAAAAAAAAAAAAAATTTGCAAAAAGACGGTGTGAGATTACTTACGTGGTAATGAAATATTGAACTTAATTGGAATTAAATTCACCATCATGACTGCGATTTTTAGAGCTTTTTTAGGATTAAAGCAGGCATTATTAAACTTGATGTTAACAGATTTGACTCTAGTACTGATATACTTTTGATGAAAGAACATACTGATTTAATTTAAGGTATTCAAGACTTTCGGTGGCATTCACACCAAATGTCGACTTTAACGGAATGAATGCTTTATAAAAGATATCACATTAGCACCATTATTTGCATCCAAATTTCAAAGAATGTCACTATTTTTCTATTTAAAATTTTTTTCCCCAAATTTTTTCCTTAGGCTTTAAATTGAAGGGACCCTTATCAGATAGATCCTCTTAGAAGCAATACATTCAGGGTAAAATCGCAAAGACTTAAATATTAGTAATTGAAAGGCATTTTTTTTAAAAAAAACTGAGAAGTCAGTTTTTAAATTGGTCACTAAGGGATGTTCTCGCTGAGAGTCATTTTTGATACGTATCTTTATCATTAAATCAAAAGCACTTCTCCTGATTTATCATCAATACTGATACATTAATATCAATAAAAATCTAGAAAAAATTCCTTGGAGTTTACTTTAAGGTTTTAAAAGATTGATTTCCTCATAAGAATATGCCAAGTAATGATGAAACCCAGATTGACGTTTCAGTACTTCCCTGGAAAACTTCCCTAATTTTTCTTCTCTGAGTGTAGAATATTCTTTGAAAATTTCAAGCGATAGCATTGGCTTGTTCTTCTTTGATAAAATAAGAAGGAAGCATAGATTTTGAAATACCCTTAACTATACACGCGTTCCTGCAGTTTCATTGTCCATATGTCAAAGCCACATGGAAGTTCCATTGATCGAGAAATTGAGGATCCACCTTGAACATTTTGACCAGAAAAACTTGAACTTTCACAGCTTTTTTACTAACTCTCAAAAGTTTTTCACCACTAGGAATATTTAGCATAAGAGGTCCAATTGGAGATTCGGCCTAAAAATATGAATTCCTAGTATATTCATTTTGCTCACCAAAATAATGGATGAGAGGTTAAAAAAATCAAGAAGGTGCTCTAGCATCATTGAATATTAAATACCTACAGATATCACTTATGAACCGGGATATATTTACCGAAAAACTGGGTAGATCCGTGTCTGTTCTCATATTTTGTCGAAGTGAACGTCTTTGATTGTCATCTAATCCTTCAATACTTTCGAGGAATACCGGAATAAAATGAGAAAAGAAAATATCAAAATTTACGGATGATAAGTTAAAAATAGCAGTGATAATGTCGTCGATGAGCAAGGAGTGACTTTTTTGTATCAGAATGTTAAGAAGGACATTCAAAAAACAATCTAAAAAATTGGACTTGAAAAAATCTCTGCTGTAGAGTTTCCATTTTTCATTTATGACTTCAAGTGACTTGAGATTTTCAGCAAATAGTGTAACGTCTGATTCCATTAAGGACATCCCCACTGCGGTGAGAACTTTTTTCAAGCTGTCTACTTTATCCACCGGAACTTGAGCATCGTATAAAGAATTTTGGTAGAAGTACTGCCATTTATGCAGAAGTATACTGAAGACTAATTGGAATAATGGTGCTTTGATATCGGGATTGACATGTGTCCCATTGTCAGGCAGCAAGAGCTGCATGCATAGATTGATGCAGCAGGGAACGAAATGTTTGAAAGCGCTACTTGGGAGCTCAACGATGAACATTAGAAGTTGTAACAACTTATCAATACCAATAGTGATATTACTACCATTATAACAGTCCATTAGTGTTGTTATTGCTTCTGATGTAAAAGAGGAGCCCATTTGGTCGTGAAGAGATTTAAACGCCTCCAAAAACAAGGCTAACATGTCAACACAAACATTAGAATTTTGCGACAGTTGCTGATGGAATTCAGTGATGATTTTTGCTAAGATTGGCTGCAGTGCTGCGTACAGTAACTTCTTTTCAGCTTGTTTGTCCGGCTTACAACATTCCAGGAGTGATGTCAGGTGAGAAAGTGTTTCGACTTTGACTAGAGTACCGAAGAAATTTGTAAGAATATTTAAACGCTCGTTGAATGAGATATTTTGAAGAGCTAGTATACATTTGAAAAGTGTAGCGTGGACAACAAGCCGAGCTTTTGGATCTAAGTGAGTAAGAGCAAGATTATCAACTAAAGGTTGAAAACAAAGTGGAAGAAGATGAGGTTTGTAAGCCAAGCAAGAGAATAAATGTGCGGCAGCTCTTTGAAGGGTGATTGGAGTGAACCGTGGCTCGCTTTGCGGGGGCAATACGTATTCTAAACAACTTGACAAGGCTTTTTGGTATACTGCTTCATCTAATTCACTATTCTGTGATAGCCAGGTGTGTAGTGATGCAAATAATTCACAGTGTCTGAAAAAAAAGGAAAGACAGTCAAATATTGATCGGGCGTAAATTTCAAGTCCATCATCTATGAACATTACTCTGCTAGGTAGAAGCAGAAAGGAATTAATTATTATTTTTTTATTTTATTTACTATCTAGTTTCCTTCAAGCGCCACACTCTTTGTGAATGGCTACTTTCAATAATTCCAAAGGGGATTATTTCAAGGTGGCAAAATTCGATTTTGCCCATCTGAGATGAATCAAAGTGATCTGAGGATAAAAGCCATAAGTATTCTGCACTGCTAGACAGCTGGTGTCTTTGAGAAGCAGTTCTTACCGGAATCTGCGACTTTACGTACAACACCAGATCATAGCATGTAGTAGCATTAATACTGGGTAATGTAACATCAAAATTTTGAGAATATATTAAAGATTTATAAGAAAAAATAGGGAAACAGATGTGGCTTATTAAAATGTGTAAGAGAGATATCATAACACTGCAATACCTCTGTCAATGAGCTTTCTTTCTAAGTGTGGAATACAGAACCTTAGACTGATGTGAAATCAGCGTGTTACCCAGATATGGGAGTAAAAAGTACTCTATAAGGTGGTGAGGAAATGCGAAAAAAAAGCTACTTACATACGAAGAAGTGTAGATGAAAAGTATTTATAACTGCTGTAAGATGGATCGCTATACAACTTCAGCTGAGTAGAGGTAGAAGCAAGATGCACCAAAGTGGAAATTATTGAAGTCTGCGCTGGAGTAGGTTTCAGGTACGGATGCAGTTTTGATAAAATTAGGCAGAGAGATGCCAAGTCCTTCTCTTGAATTGTTTGGGGATTTGCATTACTTGAGAGGACGTTGGTGTAAATTGCACAAGCAGATTGCCACTGCTCATACTGGAAAGGTAGAAGACATAACAGAATAAAAGTATTAAGGAATTTGAAGGAGATTTTATATTTGTTTTGTTTTGTTCATTAGCATGTCTATGCAGATTCTTTCAGCAACAGCGCATATAAATTAACTTGTCTTTGATCGCAAGTAAGTTAAGAAAATAAATCAAACAAAAAGAAAAGAAGGGGGTTTGCTAGGATTTTTCAGTCATTTTGAACTTCACTGGATGATGTTACTTGCAACACAATTTAAGTTCTCATTCTAGGAAATGAAAACAATGTACAGAAAAAAGGACTTTAAGCTTCAGCTTGCAAAAGCAAGTTAAGGGCCAAATTTTGAGATACTGCAGAATTTGCTGACTGCAATCATTTGAGCGATTTTTGAAATGCTCATTTTCAGGCCGGTTTTTACTTTTGTTTACATGCACGGGTGGCGTTAGGTAACATGAACACCTGACCACCGCTTTCTATTTTTCTATTAATTTCATTTATAAAAACGGAATCAAGAATGAATAAAACGCAATGTAAAACATGAGGGGAAAAAATGACTCAAAGAATTCTTACCACCATGCTACAAACTTCTTCTTGAGACGGAAGAACATCACAGACTTTTTCGATTACTCCAACAGTAAGTCTAACAAACTCTTGCTTCGGACTTTCTTCCTGAAAGGGGAAGAAAAGTGTAAAAGCCAAAAACAAGACAATGCACAAAATGAAGATAAACATTTTGATAAACTTCGAAGATTTGAGAGAGTTTTTTTTTTTTTTGCTCTTTTGTTTTTCTTTAGGGCATGTGCGCTCTATCACCCTCCGGCTAAAGTATCACAAGCGCCAAGTGACGTTTCAAAATTTCCACTGCCATTATATTATTTTATAGAGAAAACTTTGATTGCATCTATTTGAAAATTTCACTGATTTTTATCGGCAGCACAAAGAAAATTCCAGGAAATTTTCAGACAGATGCATTGAACAATTTGTCTGTAAACAAATAAAATGGTGGCAGAAATTTTGAAACGTTGCATTGCGCTAATGATACTTTGGCCAGAGGGTGACGGCTTGAATGTGCCCTTTGCGATTGTCATAACTGTGCCCTCTCTAAAATACAGGGTGATCCAATAGGCCCACACCGCCAGCACCAGGCATCACCCTTGTAACTTTTGAACAAATTGAGATAGAGGCTTTAAAGTTTGTGAGTGCTCCCGAGTCAAAGGCGAAGAATTTTAGGAACACCCAAAATTTTCAAGGAAAAACCCAAAAGTTTCAGTGTGCAGTTTTCAGGGAAAACTGTCAATAATTCTAATCCGTGATTTTTAGAGCATAAATTTAACCACGGGGGTGGTTAAAGTACAAGGGGCATTCGTAAAGTAAGTATATATCTTTTTTTGCTCCGAAACTAATGAAGATAAATTAAAACGGTAAAAATTGTTTATACCGCCATACTCTCAGCTTTCCAGAAAGCCTTCGTTTTTTTAAATTTGGTTTACCGGATTGCGAGTGACGTCATTTTTCCCACGCCCATCTCTCGTCACCGCGTGTCCAAAATATTAAAGCGCGACGGAGCTCCTCAGACGAGTACATGTTTTCACCGTAAAGAAGGTTGTAACACAGTTGATTGGTTAACTATGTGAAACTTTCAGGCTTTGAATTGTCTTACCTTACTTTTCGACATAATCTCCAACCAGTTGAACACAAGTCTGATACCGTGTTAGCAGTTCGTGGATTCCATCTTCAAAGAATTGCGCATCCTGTTGTTGGAACCATTTCTTTACAGCTTCTTGCAACTCTGTGTCGGTGGAGAACTTTCGGCCACCCAAGCTCTTCTTTAACGCAGGAAAAAGATGAAAATCGCTTGGGGCAAGGTCTGGTGAGTACGGTGGATGAGGGAAAAGGTCCCATATATTTGAATGAGGCGAACAAGTCTTGAGTCACATGAGCCACATGAGGCCTAGCGTTGTCTTGAAGGAACAAAACTTGACGAGACAAAAGACCCGGTCATTTTCGCTTGATCGCTGACTTAAGTTTTTTCAAAACTTTACAATATATTTCGGCATCGATCGTTTTTACTCTTTCCAAGAAATTGATAAGCAATATTCCTTGAGCGTTCCAAAGCACCATAGCCAAAACATGTACTCGTCTGAGGAGCTCCACCGCGCTCGAATATTTGGGACACGCGGTGACGAGAGATGGGCGCGGGAAAAATGACGTCACTCACGAACCGGTAAACCAAATTTAAAAAACGAGGACTTTTTGAAAAGCTGAGAGTATGGCGATAAAAACGATTTTTACAGTTTTAATTTATCTTTATTAGTTTCGGAGAAAATAAAGAAATATACTTACTTTATGAATGCCCCTTGTAGCATTTTTTTATGGGAAAATCTATATTGAAACATTGCAGTTGCTTTTTTCAGCAATTGAATTGTTAAATTAGCAATTTCATTTTTTCCGTGTGGCAATTTAACTTCTGTATTTGGTACACTCACTAGGCTGGAGCCTTTCAAAAGTAAATTGGTACATAAATATTCAAGTAATAAACTTTGTGCACTACCAATCATATGTTAATTATTGTGAATATTCAAGTAAGGAATTATTTGAACTTACATCTTGATTTAAACTGTCATTGGAGAGTTCTTTTTCTTGGTTCAAGTAAACCAGTAAGTCTCTTACCAGTTTTAACAAAATTGTTCCATACCTGAAAAGAGAAAAGGAGCAAAAAATTAGAAAGAAAAAGCAAAAATATCAGTGAAAACCCACACATTTTGATAAGTATAATGCAACTGATTTCAATATGTTGGAGTTTTTTAGCCAAAGTGCGTTAAAAATCAGCACAAAGTTGAATGGTTGTTACTAGTGTTGCATCAAACAGCGTATCTCTTTGAGGAAAAATTTTGCTTATGAGTGCTTTTTCCCTCTGTATTCAGATTTTCAGCTTTATGCTGATTTTTACCGCTAAAAAACTCCAACATACTGTCTTATGACCTGTGTGTCCACCTCAATCAGTTTGTGTAAAACTGATTTCATTGGTCATTTGAAAAATGGTTTACTATTATGAAAATTATATTTCATGTTGTTAGGGACCAAGCTAATTCACACTTGGTTTTAATTTATTCAAACATGTGGATAAACTTCGGGAATTTTGCATTATAGCAGTTACATTTAATTTAACTTTAGCTTTACTGAAATAACCACTTATAATAATTTTAATGTAACTCACTTTAAACTTTACAGAATAAATTTACTGATGAACTTCATTGAAAAAAAAAAAAAATCTTACTCTAAAATATGATCACAGTCTTGAAGTTGTAAGTAATCCAGAAATGAACACCAGGTGTCTAGACAGTCATAGTAGAATTCAACATGTGTTTGTTGGAAAGTAAATCTGAGGAATGCCAATAAAAACTCTTTCGCTGGGAAGTTTGGGCTCGACTCAACTCGATGCCAATGAGTAACTATGACTTGCTTTATCAAATCAATGAACTTCAGAGAAAAGCTGGAAAAAAAATTACAATCAAAAGGCAAATCCATTGAAAAAGTGAAGATACAGGCAAATCAAGAGAAAGCAGTTTAAATAGTTTGTAAATGACTGGGAAACTGACGACAACATACAACAAATAAAATATTAAGGCCAAAAAATAGGGGAAACTATAAATTAAAAAAAAAAATACTTATGATTAATTTTTCTCAAGATTTCAGCTTTAGATTGCGAATTTCAAACCGTAATAACTCTGTTTAATGAGGTACTTTGGCAGACATTTAACCCCCACCCTCTCCCTTGTTAGACATCTCTGAGACAATCTAATAACCCCCTTCCAAGTTACATAAGGTTAGCTTGATCCCCCCCCCCCCCCNTTCATAAAATAACGGAGAAAGCCCGAAATAGTTGAAAAAAATCATTTTTATTGAAAAGGTAGTTGATTTTTTTTAGGTAGAAGGCTTACGCAAGATTGGTCTTAACCTCCGCTCCTCTTATAATATCCAGTAAGCAAAAGTAAGAGTTGTATCTTATGCTAAATACCTCAATAGTCTCGATTAGGAAATTGGCAAAGTCTGAAATGCACTCCTAACTTTACAATCTGCTTAAGAAATCAGCGTTTTTTAAGCTTCCCTTTCAAGGACGATACTACAGCACAGGTGAACATTTTGTATGAGGAGTTGTTCCATCCAACTCCTGCGCACTAGGATGCCGAATATTCAACATGGTTGTCGCTTCAGCACGCAAATTAAGAGAAAGCAATATGGCCATTATCAATGTAAGAAAAATGTAAATATAAACATGCGGGTCTCATAACGTGCGTTTTGGCAGGTTGGCCATGTTGAATATAGCGTAGCGCCTTCAAATAAGCGAGGGTTGGATGGATCGAATCCTCTTATGAAATGTTTACCTGTGGCAAAGAACCATTTTTGAAGAGGGAGGCTTAAAAGAAAGGCAAATTTTTTACACAGATTGTGAATTTAAGGGTGCATTTTAGACTTTGCTAATGTACTCATCGTAATTTGTGAAACATTTTCCATTAAAAACAACTCTTATTTTTGCTCTAGAGAAAGTTAGCAACAGGCACATTCTAATCTAGAATTGATCTTACAAGTTTACATTTTTTTATTGCTACTTGTATCCAATCTGATCATGACATAAAGTTCTTTGAAAACTTTCTATACCTTTTAATAATGGTTTTCTTCAGCGGCTGGAAATGTTAGTTGATCTCAAAGGAAAATTGTGTACTTGAAGCAGCTTCATCACAATAGTTAAGAGTGATGATTTAATTTCTGTCCTATAGATATGGGAGAGAATGTTTTGTTTTACTCCAAAAGGACATGTACGAATACTTACTTGTAAGAACAACTAGAGTTCTCTATTTTGACTAAGTTCTGAAGAAGATGGCAGGCTTGTTCACACAGCCACAAGATTAAAGGTAAACTTGTCACAGGAACACAATTTTTATACAGAATCTCATTCAAGGCGCTTAAAGCCACCGCTCCTAAATCACCCTGCAATTCAAAAATGAAAAATCTTAGTTTAGATATTACTGAGAAAAACATGGACCATATCTGTGATCTTAAAATTTGCAATTGAATAAAATGTATTTTTACCAATCATCATAATCTTAGATATAACCTCCTTTTTTTGGGAAGGGGGCAGGGAGGTAGGTGGATGGTATTGGCAGACCAGGTCCCAAGCACTGGGGTTACTTGAATCCTGTTTTGTCTACTTTCTATTAGCTCTAACAAATCCAAGGGCAAAAAACAAAACCACATATCTCCCTTTGCATCGTTGCACACTTCCTGTCATACTTCATTTTTCCTTGTGAGAACTGATGAACATATTTTCTAAAAACTTCCTTGATTTTGTCTCTCTGTCAGCTGAATATTCTGTATACATTTCAAGTTAAAGGGTTACCTTGTTTTTCTCGGGAAAAAGAAAATATGAGCTGATATCTTAAGACATCAAAATGGAGTTACAAAGGTTTTGCACTTTGGTCATCGATATTTGATTCTTTTCAAACTGCTCAGGGTTCATAATTGCAATTTTTTATTATTGTTTATCCAAATTATTAAGCAAAATTCACACCTCTATCCTCTTAAAAAAATTGGTGCCACCGACCCATCAAAAATGCAAATTGATATATTTTGAAAGATTACCCGGTCAGAGGTGAAATTGAAGACAATTTGAAGAAGAGATGGTGTGAAATGAGGACCGAGAGGTGCCCAAGAGAACAGATGAGCACAAGTTTCTAGAGCTAATTCACATGTATCTTCATTGTTGTTACTGCTTTCTAAAACAGCTAAAAATATCAAAAAGAAATTTCAAGTTAAAATAAATTTTTTTTAAAAAAAAAATAAGAAAATGAAGGCAGTATATCAAAATCCGAGGAACTGACTTTGAGAAGTGATCAGCAAAGCATTGAGTTGGAGGATGGACAGCAGATCAAAGGCTGCGTGGACTTTAAGTACTTGGGGCTGCGGTTGACCTCGGATGGAAGGATGGATCAAGTGATTAAGGAAAGAAACACCCTAGTAAGGAAGGCTATAGCCATGTTAAATGGAATCCTCTGGGATTAGCGGATTCACAAAGAAAACGAGAGGCGAATTTACAATGTTGTTGTCAAAAGAATTCTTACATGTGGATGTAAAGTTTGACAGCTGAATGAACGGACACAGGGGATGATAAGAGCAACAGAGATGCGTTTCTAGAGGAGAACGGCAGAAATTTCTAGAAGGGATTGGGTCTGCAATGAGAGAGGGCGTCAGATCATGAAAGTAAAAAATGACATCGCATTTGGCGACATGATGGACATGTCAACAGAATAACAAAAAAAGGCTGCCGAAAAAAAATGCTTGATTGGGTTCCTCCTGGGAGGGGACATAGGGGATGCCCAGTGAAAGGGTGGTGGCAGGGGGTTTTAAAAGAAATGAGGGAGTGCCAACTCCTTGAAGGGCTTTGCGAGGATAGAGGACTTTGGCAGCTAGGTGTTGCAGACCGCCAGAGAGCGCTTTTAAATAGGCTCGTAAGTATGTATATGTAAATAAAGTGAAAAAATAAACTCAGAGAGATATAGTTAGGAATCATAAATGAGCCTTGAACGAAAAAGCAGGGTGAAAGACTGAGAAAGTAAGATGAATCATTTGTGTAGAGAAATGTTGATGAAGGTACTTTGAGTTTTTAAGAGTCCCAAATATCAAAGACTGAAAAAGGGGATCTTGTCTAAATTAATTATAATCATGAAACCGAAAACTGAAAACGGTGAGCATTTTTAATGGTCACACATTATTTCCTGACAGTTTGATTGAAGTTTTTGCGTTGAGGGCTTAAAAGAGGTGTGTGAAAAAACGGCCAAAAATGCCTCAAGGCATTTTCGAATTTTGATCACTTGGGGTGATACAGTAGCTTCCCAGACGCCCAAAACCGGTCGCCGTTTTGCTTAGAAGCGCCGGGTTGCGACGTTGCCATTTTTTAAAGTGGAAACTTTTAAAAATTCATATCTCCGCCGCATCTCAACCGATTTCAATGAACTTTTTTTTAAAATGTTCCTCTTAAATAGAGCTTTCTAGTGGTATATAGTTTTCTGGGGTTTACTTGGCTTTAAGTGGCACTTACGCGGTTTTAGCACTTCTTGATAGACACAAAAATGTAGTTTTTATTTTACCACGATCGTGGAATCGACGGAATCTAAACAAAAACCAGTTTAAATGAAAGTTCAGATTCTCACCTTTCTAACGAGCACAAGATCATCCCGGGGAAACGTTTAGTTTCCGAGATATGACCGCTCAAAGTTGGTCGCATGCGCTTTTGCGCAATGTGAATGCGCCTTATCACTAAGTCATTCGCGAACTGGGGGTCCCTTATGTTCAATTTACGTTGAAATAATTACACAGAGCAGTAAGGTGTACAACTTGAGCCGTATTTTCACCTTCGGCTGCTGATGTGCGACGTTGCCATTTTTTTAAGTGAAAACTCTTAAAAATGCATAACTCCGCTGCATTTCAACCGATTTCAATGAACTTTTTTTTAAAATGTTCCTCTTAAATAGAGCTCTCTAACGGTATTTAGGTCTCTGGATTTTATTGACTTCAGGGCGGCACTTAGGTCGTTTATATGGTTCTTTGCACAGATTTTTCATATAGAAAATAGTGTTGCTATTTTTTATTTTTATTTTTAATTTTTTTTTCCGCGGGTTGTGGGAGGGTTTGAAATGGCAAAATTTAAAAGAAAGAACTTTGAAAAAAGGGATTCTTTTAATCACTATTCTTACGTGTACAAATATTGAAAGCGACGCTCTCATTGTACAAGGGAAGTTGTTGTTGTTAATTTACCAAGATTTTTGCATTATACTTTAAGCGATGGTGATCTTCCGATCTAGTTTGAATGTTAAAAAAAATCGGGGGAAATACAGACCCCCTCCCAAAAAAAAAGAAAAAAAAAATAGCAACTCAATTATTTATATGAAAAATCTCTGCAAAAAACCATATAAACGACCTAAGTGCCGCCCTGAAGTCAATAAAATCCAGAGACCTAAATACCACTAGAAAGCTCTATTTAAGAGGAACATTTTAAAAAAAAGTTCATTGAAATCGGTTGAGATGCGGCGGAGATATGAATTTTTAAAAGTTTCCACTTTAAAAAATGGCAACGTCGCAACCCGGCGCTTCTAAGCAAAACGGCGACCGGTTTTGGGCGTCTGGGAAGCTACTGTATCACCCCAAGTGATCAAAATTCGAAAATGCCTTGAGGCATTTTTGGCCGTTTTTTCACACACCTCTTTATAGTGTGCCTACCTACCAACTTACCTACATCTTACTATAAGATTCAGAGAAGAAGGATTTTTCTTTTTTTATTTAGCTTTAGTTCAATCGAACCGTAAGCCTTAAAGCCACTAAGTAGCTTTTTAGCTTTTCCAGACCACTGGAAACCATGTTTGAAATACCTGACATTTTTTTACAATTAAAAATTAAATTTGTAGAGTGCAAACTTACCAGTTAAAATTGTGAACACTTGCGGTAGATGGGCTTGGAAAAGCCTCTGCAATTCTTCTTTCCTCGAGGCGCTTATATCTTCTTTCAAAGTTATTAACTCTTCGGATGCAGTTTTTAGTATTAAAAGTCCTACTTTGGTTGTGGTTCTGCTTTGTATCAGCTGGAAAAGAAACGAACATTAAAATATTAAGAGCAATGCATACGAAACATTGAACAAAATGGTCCAATTTCATAAAAAAAAAAAACATTTTGCTGGCAGTGATACTACCTTTGGGGAATTTCCTTTTGCATTTTTACTTTTCATAGGAAGAAAAAATACTCCCAAACAGATGGAAATGGAACTAAATATTGACGATAACTTCCGCACAAATTTAAAGTTTAATGGTCCAGAAGTCTTCCCCCTCCCGCCAAAAAAGGAACTGTTGAAAGTAGTTCTGGAACATTATTACAGATATGTGCTCATTAGGCCCTCCAGTTTTCAATTATCAGCGTATGCTGCGTGAGAAAAGAGACAAAGGCACGCTCACAACCATATCTGTACCATCACTCATCAATTTCTAGACATCAAGATTTTTCTGAAAATCGCGGATGCAACACTCTGAGAGTACGTCCCAAACGAATAAATGTTAGACTGAACAAATAAATGATTAAGGTCGTACATTGATAATGTTGACGAAAAAATCTGGATAAAAGTGGGGCCAATCGAACTTAGCAATAATACACATCAGCTTAATGAGCTTGTTTCTGATGAATAGAGGAATGGTGCTATCTGGTGACACGGCAGCATTGTACAGAAACGATCGTAGCTCTGCTCTCTCATTTGACTCTAGACTGATCCAGCGTTGAGTTATGACAGTCTGAAAATAAAAAGAAAACAGTTAAACTTCATTAGAGACTGAGAAAAATCTAATTCTTGAGCAGCAGGTTTGCAGACTGATGAAACAATCTTGAAAGTGAAACTGAAAAATGCGTATCTCAGTCTCAGTTTTTTAAAATCTCTGCTACCATTTTATTACTTAAAAGAAGACTAAGCCAAAATCATGGCTGGAAAGTTTCATAGAATATTCTGCAAAACCACATGCCTCTGTTTGTGATTTTACAGCCTTTCCGTCATAGCTTATTTTTTCTTTGGAAAACTGGTCAATGTATTTTATTGAAAACTTTGATTTTTCTTGTCTGTGGGTAGGATATTTCATGAATTTCAAACTATACAGTTTCTTTGAAAAATAAAATGGGTAACAGCAGTGATTTTGAAATATCGCGATTGAGATACATGGTTTTATCACTTTCGCCGCCGACATACAGCAAAAATAATGGAGAAACTAGAGCACCTTGTACTTTCTTTTGGAATGATGAACACTTCCTGTCACATCCAATTATGAGGAGGGCATTGATCATTTTTAAGTAGGTAATAACATTCACATTGTTCACTAATTCGTTTTCTCTTTGAAAATTATTCAAATATAATTTGCAAAAACATTAAGTACTTTCTTTTGAAAAATTGAGTACGAAGAAATAAATGGAAATTCCAGGATCCTTTTGCAGAATTATTTAGCATTAGGCTGCATGAAGCATAGAGAATCGAGCAATTTTCAAGCTGTTCCAGATAATGTTATAATTGCAGTTCTGTCATCTCATACTCAGGTCACAATTAATTATAACCGACTAATGATGATGAGCAATTACCTCAATTACATTGGTTAGGCAAAACATCCAAATGTACTGATTATCTGAATGAGACATGAAATAGAAACATTGCTTCCATGCATGTCTCTGTCTCCCAAAATCTGACAAGAGCGTTTCAATTTCTCTCTTTCGCACATTACTCGTTCCGATGCCATAAAATTCTTCTAGTAGCTGTTTCAACGAAATTAGGGTGTCTGAGTCGTTGACCTGAAACAATTATAAAGGGAGTAATGACATACAATTCCAGATAAAATTTAAGAGTATCAAAGGTTGAGAGGAGAGGAATGGAGAGAAAGGAGGAGACATTTCGGATGTCATACCTCTAAGTATTTTTTCATCCATCCCTTCCTTGGAATAATTTAGAAGTATTTAAACTGGACTTTAAAGAAAACCATGACTAAGGTAGCAGATTAGAAAAAAAAAAACTTTAAGTACAAAAATATGGATGAACTAAGTAGTAAGGAATCTTCTAATGATATATAATATAGCCTTGTGATTATAGGTTAAAAAATCGCTGTTTGATAACTGAAGGCTCCTGACATGCGCTTCCGGGGATTAAAAAATTTCTGTCTTCCTAGAAAGGAAATGTTTACTGTAGGTAATTCAGAATGTAGATGATACTAGAGAGTAGAAATGCTACATTCTGGATCTTGGTGTTACTTAAAGGAAATGTAAACTGTGAAATCTAAATTTTCAAGGCTATTATACATTGTTCACATTAGAGAAATTAAGAAGCCATGGAAAGGGCACACTCCAATCAATTAACTGAACAGAATATTATGACTAGTTACAGGATAGCAACATACACAAAAACTTGGCAACAAATGATAGAAACACTTGAATCTATGGACATTGCGCTGTAAGTACATTGGAATCTGAGCAACTAGCCTCTGTCAAACCAAATGCTTGAATTATCACTGGATTTGAAAAACAACAATTCCAGAAAGTTTTCAAATATAAAATGCACATTCCACAGAAACAAAAATAAGAAGCTCATATTGTACCGTTGAGAACAACTTTGATTAAAAAGAACAGAAAACTAGGTGACGCAGTGGTCCCGACAAAAAGTAGTCTGTTTTGGTGAGACGAAACAGAGCAACCAAGAAAAATTGATGTATTTGAAAAATCTGACAAAATTTTATACACTCAGATTCATTTTGCTACTTTTAAAAATTGGTCTGCAAGAGACCAAAGGCATGAAAAAGTGAATAATAATGAAGAGAGTTTCTGAGGTCTTACCATTTCAAAATGACACAGCAGCGCGTAGGATGCATACAAACTCTAAATCATCGAGACAGTAACATCGGTTGGACGTTCCTAGCGAGTTAGTAAGAACTATTTGTCTACGGTGATAGTAAATTAGTTGTTCCAAACGAAAATGTTTGAGTTTGAGTTCGATTTGACAGGGGGAGGAATGGTAATGATAAGAGTAAGAGTCTTTAGGAGGTAAACATAACCTCACAAATGAAAATGATGCAGAAACAGTCAAAAAGAGTAGTGGAGGCTGGCCTTTATTGGTCAAAAATACGCAAGTACTTCTGGCGGCCATCTTGCGCGTCAAACCCTGAAGGCAGAGATGCCTAATTTTATGAAAATTTATAAAATTGAATTTCTTATTGAATCTTCCTGCGTGGAATTTTGTCGGATGAACTCCATGAAATTTAAGGAATTCCTCTCTAAATTTTGATAAGGAGTCAGTACATATGTCACGGAAAGCATAGAATCAGTAAAATCTCGATTTTGAAATGTTAAAAAAAAAAAAAAAAATAAGTCAAATTTTGAAGTTTCTTATCGAATTTTCAAGGACCTAGGACCTCGGTAATCGTTGCAGGTTGTACACAGCCCCTGAAAAATCGTTGAAATTTTTCCAACGTCCCTTACGGTCCCCATAGATGAAAACACCTGCACAATCTAGTTCTCACTAGTTCTCAGATTTGACAAGACTTCTAGCGCTGACACCAAGGAACATTGATTCCGGTCTGGCCATTTGAGCATTGATAAATTCTCGGAAAATCCCGAGCTGAGTTTTTGCCGTCGTAAAATGGGGATTTTGATGATAATCGAGCGATAATTTGAATGTCAGAGTGAATTTCCATACCGAACTATACGACCACGGGTGTAGGCATACCTATTGCCGCTAGCCGGATTGAAGGCGCGCCACACTGAGAAGATGTCTCCACAGCGTTCCCTTCCCTGACTCGCGCGACGGTAAAGTCGCCGCAAAACTTTAGAACTCCGCGTCATTACTCTTGACTATTTACCTGGTTTTTACGATAATTAAATGGAATTTATTACAAAAATTCAGAAACTCGGAAGATGTGGAATTTGTTTCTCATTTAATAAAATTGGATCGGCAGAACAAACGAAAATATTACAACAAAATTTTCTTTGATTTGTTTGAAATCATCCAGGAAAATTCGCGGTGAAACTGTGTGTAGCTTTTTAAAACATTGATTAAAAATAAAACATAAATAGTGGTTCATAACGTTGCAATCAGAGATTCTCTCGCGTGCACCCGTCGGCATCCACCCATCTCTGAAATAGGTAACTTGTTCCGTGATTTTTTACGTGTAGTTTTCTTTCATTGGTTGTCGGCCGGGTAGCGGCCACAGGCCCCTAGTTTATACCTAAATATAAAACGGTTGTATAAGTGAGACAATTTCTTTTATGTGTGAACAATATGACTGGGTGTCCAGAATTCTTAACTTCAGACTGCATCTTAAGTGCCTGTTGGAAATATTTGTCTGGTCAGAGTTTATGTGAATCCTTGGCAGCAGATTATGAATTTGAATTTCCCCGACCTATGTGATAACTTCGCCCATTAAAGGTGAGTGAGCACTGCTCAGATCCACCATATTGTGCTCATAATTATTGGACCAAAGTCAGTGTGAAAAAGGATTGCAGATAAAGTGTTCATTATTCACCAGAGTTTATGAGATTTACTTATGAACTTGGTATCCAGAGTTTACCAAAACTATCTCTTTTGCCACTGTATTAGCGTATTTAGCTTTGCAGTAATTGAGGAATTACAAAAATAGTTTTCTTTGTGCCTTGAAATATCTACCTAAAATTTGGAGTCGTGAAAGCCTGTTTCACTGACCATTTTGCAGGTATAATGCTCACATCCTTAAATGGAGATGTTGCATGTGTGAGGAATTTGCAATTTGGCAACTGATTCTAATGTAAAAGTTCGCGAGAAACAAGATGGTACCACTAGTTTTCTCTGAAATCAACTCCCAAGCTCAGAAAAAGCTCTCAAGTTGAGGTCATAATGGAGGGAATAATGGGGATATCCCACGCTATCCTGAGAGTCCACGTGTACATCAAGACGCGAACTCTCCATGCGAAGATAGGGAGCAAATACATAAGCAGGGTTGCCGTTTTTTCAGTTTTAGAGTCCCCAAATAAAGTGGCAGCCTCGTCAATGTATTTGCTCCCTATCTTTGCATAGAGAGTTTTTCTTGTTGTAGAGGTGGACTCTCAGGACAGCGTGGGATATTCCCTTCATTACGTCCTCAACTTGAGAGCTTTTTTTGAGCTTGAGAGTTAATTTCAGAGAACACCAGTGGCACCATCGTGTTTCTCGCGAACTTTTACACAAAAATCAGTGGTAAAATCGCAAATTCCTCACACATGCAACATCTCCATTTCGAAACCAAGCTAGCTATGAACTTGAACTATGGGTTCGGTATGATTCGTGGTATCATGCCGCTTCGTAGCATAGAGAAAAAAAAGGAGGTGTTTGCATTTCGGGCATCTTGGAATTTTTTGATGACTTGATGACGTAGGTGGGTACAGTTGGGTACAGCGACGTCCCCTTCACGCTGTACCCACCTACGTCATCAAGTCATCAAAAAATTCCAAGATGCCCGAAATGCAAACACCTCCTTTTTTTTCTCTATGGCTTCGTAGGATAACCTAAGCTTTTCGGCTGTCTCGAATTACTGACGTTCATGAATGTAAGTATAATAATCGCACCATAATGAATGCGGAAATTTTGCATTCTCGCGGGCAACTTTTTGGATTCCGAAATAGGTACTTGATGTGGTATCACTCGGAAATGAAGGAAAAGATTGTTCACACATGTGGTTCCAGTCACGCATTAGTGTTGTACATGATTTCATTAATTTTCGATGCAAGAATCGTGTTCTATGTGAAATTCTGGTTAAAATAAACATGTATCAGAATGCTTAAATTCGTACCTTGTCTAGTAGTCCATTTAAATCCTTTAAGTCAGATATGAATGAAATCAACGTAGAAAACAAACTTAAATGAAGCGATTTCCACAGATTCCGTCAGTAGGTACTGTCGTTAGATATTTATGTACTATTTTCCTGGTCGGCTGAAAAGTATTGTGCTTCAATTCAGTTTGCACACCTATTTTGTTTATCAAAGATGGAAACGTTGATTACTGCTGAAAAAATTGACTGGAGTCGCTAAATTACATTGATAAAGTCCTCTTACGAGAAGAAGACATCAGAAACCAATTCAATTTTAGAGTCAGAATCTAATTTCTACAAGAGGATATTGATTTTCTAGAAGGTATGTCATTTGAGTTGTTTAAATTTCACTGTTTGTTTATATATTTATTTATTTATTTATTTATTTATTTATCCATTTATCTATCCATTTATTTATTTATTTATTTATCTATTTATTTATTTACCCCCAGGTTTAAAGATTCAGATGAGGATATTTGTGGTATCACGCGAAAATGAAGGAGATTCATAGCTTTTCTCATACCTGAACGAGAAAAAACACTAAAAAATGGCCCGAAACTGTATGTAACAAGGTAGAGAAATGGTGTTGGGTCCACACCCAAACAGAATTAAAATTTTTTGACACTAATTGAATTTTTGGAATGTCTTGGTTTTGATTTCCGCGTGAGATGGCGTGGACCCAGCACCATTTCTCCACCTTGCACTGAAAAAAAAATCTCGGTGTATTTACTAAGAAAAGGGTAAAATTACCAAGAATTCAGGGTTCTATTTGATCCTAGTTTTTTCTTGGTAAAATTACCATTTATGGAATTGGTAATTTTACCGAGAAATCTCGGTAAAATTATTGAACTTTCTCGGTAATTTTACTGCACCTTGGTAAAAACGACAATATTTTTTATCGACTGTGGTAGAATTACCGAGATAAAATGGCAAAGTTACCGGGAATTGATTACCAATAAGAGTGGGATTCTTACCTGAAAAAAACAGTAAAAATACCGATTTTTAAGTAAGCTTACCAGTTTGTCTTGGTAAAATTACCAATAATTGGTAAAAAAAGTGAGATGGTAAAGGTACCAACGGACCTTGGTAAAAACGCCGAGAAATTTTTGTCAGTGTGCTAATATCTGAATTTACAACACTTATGGAAATTATGCTCACATCGATATTAAATTCGCGTATCTTCCGCGATTGAGGTGGAAATCGTAGGATCTTGAATGTTCTTCATCAACCGCTGCAAAATTTGCGTGCACGCCGCGATATCGATGCGAATAACGAAAGTTTTAATCATTTACAAAACCTTTTGGAACAATCGCGTATTTGCTGCGATATTGTGATGATTCTTGTAACCGTCAGTTCCTTCCTTAAAGCTTATATTGTCATGGATAAAACAATCGAACAACGTCTGACCAAACATGTTGCCGGGAAGAACATTCAAACTTTCAATCGCTTGTATCTTGAAACAAGGTTTTTCAAGAAATGCCCTTCTTGCATCCAACTCCTCAAGTATGTGGTATCACGAGAAATTGAAGGAGAATTCTAGCCTTTTGCCTGTCAAAAGTTACCGATGTTTATGAATGAAATGCTTGAATCAATGCATGTAAAAGCCGTGATTTTTCCGCGGTATAAACGTGAAAATTGTGTGTATAATTTTCAGTGAACTTTTGTGAGCTTTATCAACTGCTGGAAAATGTGCGTATTTTCCGCTGTATGCAGGTTATACTACTCGTGTTTTTATTGATTCTATTAAACTGGCGGAAAAATCGCGTATGTGCTGCGATATCGCTGTCATTATCGCCAAATTCCTCATATTTCGTTAAAAACCGCTGAAAAAATCCCGCATTTCCCTCAAATACCGAGATGGCAAGCGCGTAATTACTCAGGATTCAACGAATCCACTAAAAAATAGCTTACTTTTCGCGAGAGAGAGATGAGATTTGCGTACTTTCTGACTTATCAGCAAGCGAAAACCAAGCAAGCAACTATTCGAACTCCGGAGTAGGTAGGTGGTATCACGCGAAATTGAAGGATAATCTTAGTTTTCCCCCATCTAAAGTTATTGACGTTTATGAATGTTATGCTCGCATCTATGAAAAAAATCGCATAATAAGCTGAGTATTTTTTTTTTAAATTACTGTATTTTCCGAAGGAAATACACGTTTGCGTTCTCCCTCATGGTAGGACCTGGACCTAGGACCATGTAAAGAGCGCCGATCTCTAGTCGAATATCGCGTCATTCGTCAGACCGGCATGCTCTGCAGGTTCAACTGGACGTATTTTTGCCAAACGGAACTATGTGCATTATGACGTGAGCCCTGTTATTCATATATCGTCACCTTCCAGGCAAAGTATCACAAGCGCCATGCGACGTTTAAAAATTCCCGCCGCCATTTTATTTTTTTACAGAGAAATTGTTCAACGAAGCTGTCCGAAAATTTCACTGAATTTTCTTTGTGCTGCCGATAAAATTTAGTGAAATTTCCAAACAGATTCAACCAACAATTTCTCAGTAAAGAAATAAAAATGCGGCGGAAATTTTTAAACGTCGCATGGCGCTTGTGATACTTTGCCTGGAAGGTGACGATATCCTTATAGGTCTTAGGGCTCATGTCTTAATGCACATAGTTTCGTTCGGCAGGAAACGTTCACTCATCGAACTCATCGATGGATGTCTAATTTTCATGCGAGTGACAGCAGTCACTAGTCACGCAAATAGGGTGAAATTCCACAAGCAGCAACAATCAAATAATCGAATTGCAGCATATTGCAAGCAATCGATTTGACCGAATCTGGCCAACGGTGACGCAATCCACGCGGGGCGAGAAATTGAAAAAGGGAAAAATAAACGCCGGGGCAGACGCAGCATGATTTCGTCTACCATCGTGACTGACGGCGGAGTTGGCCGACCCGGGCAAGGTAAAACTTTATAAAAAGGGAGATTTACATGAGCTCCCATCTAGTCGAGCTTCGCGAACTGTTGCCCGCTCTTAGCAACTCACGTTGGACCAAATTTCGAGCCTGTCGCTAGATTCTCGTTGTAGGTAGTATTCGTAGGTGTGCACGCTGATTCTATTTATTCTTAGATTTTATATTCTTCTACTCAAAATATATTTTCTTTCACGAATAAAGTCAACATAAACGCGATTTTTCGGAAACGACCGAAACTTGAAAAAAGGTATCTGAAATTTTTGCCAGTAACCGCAATCAGAACTTTTCCAAACTTGCCGATCCGCATTAGATGGATTTATGATAAGTGTTTACTTGTTCGTGTTCTCAAATTGATAAATACTCCGTAATGTTAAGGAGAGTGCGAAATTCAACGGGTCGGGAAATTTTAATTTTTTTTCCTGCACTTGAAACATTCGTGGATAATCTAGCAACCTTAGTAGAGTGTGTTCGGAATTAACTCTAGATTCATCGTCTAATTGAAGAATTCACTGTTGAAATATTGTTGAACACTCTAGGCCGTTGACTTTCACCTGAGACTTACTTCTTTTTACTCCCGGAATGTTATTAAGGTAAGAAACACATAGGTAGTATAGAAACGCTGAAATATTTAACAGTTGTATACCGTTAATTGGATCCCATTTAGCGAAAAGGAAGCACAACGACTGCATTGTTTTCAAAATTGTGCAACTTCATATTTCCCTTTAAAAATACTTAGTATATGCACAGTTATGTTAAAATTTACTTAGTTGTACCTCTTTGAAATTAACTAGTTTTTGGTGGGAGGCAAAATTTTTTTGTTATTCTGGGAGATTTTTTAGATGATTATGAAGAAGCAACATTTTTAAAGCACTGTAAGTAATCGCGCTGGTTCTTTTTTGCTAAATACGATCCAGTTGATATTTATTGATCCTGGAAAAGTAATAAGATCGGTAAGAAGAGACAGCAGTACTTCTGTGCCAAGGGAGACGCCGTAGGACACAGTTAAATTTCTTTCGACAAAGTATAATTTTTGTGGAAAGATATAAAAAAATTGGAAAGTTATCATGCAATTTGCTGGAGGAGATCTGGCAGGATCGCTAACAGTGGCGGTTGGGTAGCGCAGAGCGCACTGAAGCGCTGTAAGAGCGACATGTTAGTTAGTTAATTTATAAATCATTAGACCCAAGATGATGATCTATGAGAGGCAAGTTCTTTATATCAATGCATATTCTTGAAATTGTTGGATACTTTAGATCAAATTTCATGCCAAATTCTTTGAAAAATTGGACGACACTTTCAAACAAGTTTCCCTGGAATTTCGTTTTTCGACGTAGGAAATTTGGCAACGTATATTCATGCGGTGTTCTTTCTGAGCACGGTAGAATAGCATTGCACGATCAACGGGAAATGACCGAACAGCTTTCAGCTGCTCTATAGTTAACGTTATAACGTCCTTATCAGCGTTCACTTTTAGAGGATACATACAGATGAGCCAGAAATTGTAGTTCCGAATAGCATAATGTAGTCCACATGATCACTCCATTACATTGCTCAGCAACGAGGGAGCCTACACGTAAAAGTCGTTTCACTTGCACGCTCTTATTTAAAAGTACTTATAAAAATACTAGGGGGCCCCCTGGCCGCTACGCGGCCCAACCCCCAGGGGGTATAAATGAAGAGAAGAAATTTACTTGGGTTTTATGTAATGTTTTATCATATGAAATGACAATAATTCCAACAAACTTTACAAAAACTTCAAACTCATAAGTTAAAACTCGCTGACGCTGCAGGTTTGAATATAATCACACCGAACACAGTGCGGCCGGCGCGGGGCTGGCGAGCAAGATACGAAACGTACTTATAGTAGCGCCTTACAAGATCGCAGGATATTTCATGCATTGCGCGTGCAGCACGGTGTGGATAGTACAGCGCCTTACAAGTCTGCAGGATACTTCATGCATTGCGCATATACCACGGTGCGCGCTCAAGTCGTTGAAAAGTCGTATTTTCTTGGTGTTGAACCTACCCTGATGAATAGTTATCAATTTCCGAGTATTGCACACCGCGAGCTTGCAATCCTAGGATCATAGCATTGTGAGATTTTGCTATCCTGTATGTATTCCGGTGAAAATATACTTTTCTCTATCCGCTTCGAGGAGCCAGTCCGCTTCTGATCTGAATTGCAGGTCCTCGGAAATTTGGACGATGTTTAATTTTTTTTTTGCCGATGAAAATGGAATGAACGAATATACCGGGTCGAAATTTTCGATAATGTTATTTGAGATCATTACGAAAAATCCCCGGAAACTCTTCAGAAAAACTGTGCGTATATTAATAACGTGATAGTTGTCATTTTTATCGAGGTAAAATGGTAAACAGATGTGGTATAGCTTACCCTCGACCACCACTCGCCACTCAGTAGTGGACTTACTTCAAATTACGTTTACGTATGTTACGTTTGTACGTATATTTTTTTAAAAAAAACCCTGAAATAAAATAAAACATGAGAAGTGGCGTGTAACGTTTCAGTCGAAGATAAATAGCGTAAACTGTGTATGAACATTCAGGCATCATCAAATATTTTCGAAAAAAAATGATTTTGGAAAAGCTTTATAGTTTTGCCTGTTAGTTTTGTTGGCTCGAAATTAAAGTTTGTGTCTGTAAAAGATTTACGTAAAAATATTCACAACTTCTTTCAACATTAAATAATTTATATAGATCAATTTGGTAATATTTAGAAGGTCACATGTTGAAATTTTTTCGCATGACAGAGTAGTCTTAAATATCCAGTGGCGATTTTTGAGTTGGCAAGAATTTTTTTCTCCGCTTATGTGCATGTTCAACAGTCTTGGTGATGCAGCTTATCGCACTAAGAATCGATTTATTCAATGGATTCAAATAGAATATTAACAGCATTGTCAACTTTTTAGAGTTTCCACTGATATCGTCGGCGAAAGTGCGACAATGCGATCTCCATTACGGCTGTGTTTAAGAATGTTTGCTCCTAATCTATTTTTTCAAGGAAAAGTAGGTCAATTTTATAGCTTACAAACCATACTAAATATTTTGCGAAGTAGCGGAGAGGAAAAATCAAGGAAGTTTTCAGGAAATTACGTTTACTAGCTCTCTAAAGAAAAAATGAGGTCTAGCGGGAAGTCTGTAGCGTCGTATAACGGCGTGGTTTCGCACTCTGGCCATCGATGTATACATATACAAATAGTAATTTAAAAACGCACGTCTTCGAATGTCAATGAACACTGCATATACAAAAGTGTGCATGCATATCGATCAAAGTTTCTCGGGGAAGTAGATCTCAACTGGGAATTCCTCGAGAGCACTCCTCTTTCCGGAAATGAGAAAGTTCTCGCTTCAATATCTATCCATGGCCACAAAGCTTGGTAAAAAGAAGAGGCTATGCTTCCAGAGAAGATATTTTCGCCTGAGACCAAGAAAGAAGTAAGACATTTTGCACGGCTATGAACCAAAAGTGGAAATAAATGTTAAGTATTTACTTTGAGGACTCTCGATAAAGTAAAATGATGTTTAGTGAGCGACAGATGACGAGAGTGCAAAATGAAAATATCAGGAAATTAGACAAACATTTCGGAGGAAAACTCAAAAGACAGTCTCTTGAGTCTTGCTCGGGTTACCATTTACTTTCACCACAGATTCAGTTTTCAGGCGGAAAAGCAAAATATTTTTGATCAGCGGAATGACGACCCGATAACAAATGGAATCGTGTTGCCGCTCAATTTTTCATGAATTTATATTGTTTTTGCATCTAATAATGAGTTATCGATGACGGCTTGAAACGTCCTGTCTTTCTCAGGTACATTACATTAATACTTATCTTTAATAAAATAATAAACTTGGAAAATCACACCATATTATACTTTTGAACTGTAATATTTACAGAGCGAATCATTGGATTAGGAATGTTAATCAACATGATTGGAACACATGGTTACGATTTCATAAACTCATGAATAATTTTGAAATTCTAAAATGTGTAACTCCTAACACAATAATACTTATAATAAAAGCAAAGAAAAAATCAAATTTTAATCAAGTAGTGAAAAGGTAGTGGTTTAAGTAGCTAGGAGTGTTTTCATTAGGTTTAAAAAATTAAGTTTTTACTCTCTCAAGATCCTAGTTCTGAGTATTTGGGTGACGGACGTATTCATGCTAAAAGGAACTATAAGCATAGGGTTTGTGTGTAACATAGCTCTTTACATAAATACGTCCATATGATGTGGGCACATTTGAACGGCAGATAAAAAAAAGTCTTCAGACAGTTCGAGAAATTGGGAACCCTGACCAATGCAATGTTAAGAATGCAATTTATTGCTGGTCCGAAAAAGCAAACATTTCTGTTAGTAGGCGAGAAAAAATGTGTAGCCCACTTTGCTCGCGCGCCAGAACTATATGCGGATTTAAATTTTCATCACTTTACGTTGGAGGACAAGACGACCCCTAGTTTGAGAATTTGGCAATTGACGCACGGATATTTTTGCCGATTGTCGAAGAAAAGATGAAATCCTGTCAATTTGTTTGACATGCCTTACGCAATTGAGTAAACTGATTCCCTCACCTCTTAAAAATCATAGCCGCTGCTGACGTTTGTCACCATTACACGCTCCAAAAACAACCCGTAGTTTTCATAGACAGAAATGTTTATCCGCGCCAAAATTAGAGCAAAAGCGATACCTGGGGAAATCGGGTTTCATTCGCTTTGCCAGAAATGAACTAAGGGAAGACAAATTCACGAGAAAATTCACGGGCATCGGGGACGAAAAAGCTAAAAATAAACACCCAGTTGGTCAATCGAAGGCACGAATAACCTGTCAATATGTGTACTTCGCTATAGATGCTTAGTGCTACGTCACAGAAAGCGATGTACATCGACTTATTCTCATTGGTAGCATTGAAATGGGTTATGTATTTGTTATTGTTTGGATCCAATTTGATATAATGGAGAATCCGTATGGTGAAGTCACTACTAATAGCGTCTATACTGCCCCACTGGAGGGAAGAATAGCGTATGAGCCTTCGGACGTTGCCAAAATTCCTTAGATAAAACATGAATTTCCCCGGACACTTAAGCATACATTTTTCTCCAATTTTTCAGAGAAAATTATGAGTAACTTTGTCTAAAGTATCAAACAATTTCCAGGAAAAATATATTCACAAATTTCCACAAAAATTAATATTTTATCGGTGGAGATTTATGGCATTTTTGGTTTTCAACTTTTCGTTCTGCTTTCATACGCGTTTTCCCTTAGAATGGTAGTGAGTTCTGCCAACCAAAAGAACTTCATCCAAGATTTTGTAATTTACAGAGAGGTTCTAGCTAAAGATCCCGCACTAACACCCTAAACAATGTATTTGAGCGAGGCATGAGTGAAATTCGGAGGCCAAAGTTATTTTGCGTCTAATGATGATTAATGAGCAACTTGTTGAGAAAAAAATCGAATAAAAGTCGCCAAATGATGACTGATAGGTACATGCCAGATCGAGCATTTTGCCACACGAGTTTTTGCAAATTAGGCTAGGCTTAATTGCTCAAATTTTTTGGGTATCGGTCATCATT